GTATTATTATTCCTAAATGACATATGAAAAGGAGGTTAAAAATTATTTCAGAAATGAAAACAAGGCAACAGTAACAAAAAGACAGACTCATGAATATGTTATTGTGAAGATTTTAAGTTTTAGCTGTTTATCAAAGGAACGTATAAACATGCAGAACATAGTAAAAAGTAAAATATCTAGATACAGACATAACTGTTTATATTCTTAAAGGGGCACATGTTTCCATATATTGGAAAGGATGTCATCTTGTCAATAATTACCAGCTCACTACCAGGCCACTGCACTAAACCTCTAAAAGTACCATGCAGTCCTAACAAAAATGCTACACAGAGAGTTAATGGACCCCAATGGCTGGGGTGAGCTGTAGCAAGGCTGATTGGCAATTGTCAGTTGTTGTGGGTTTTTTCAGCTGTTTGGCCGTGTTCCAGAACACAGCCAAATAGCCTGAAAAACCCACAACAACCATTGGATCCCTGCAGTGAAAGCCTTCGAGAACACACTGATTGGCAATTCCCTGAAAATACGATGGAAACATTCTCCATAAATGCAGTACTTCCACCAAGGGAAGGCCATGTTCTACGAATAACTCTGTGTTACATTGTTGTTGTTGTTTAGTCATTTAGTCATGTCCGACTCTTTGTGACCCCATGGACCAGAGCACGCCAGGCCCTCCTTTCTTCCCCTCCCTCCCAGAGTTGGGTCAAATTCATGTTGGTTGCTTCGATTACACTGTCCAACCATCTCATTCTCTATCGTCCTCTTCTCCTCTTGCCTTCAGAATTTCCCAACATCAGGGTCTTTTCCAGGGAGTCGTCTCTTCTCATGAGATGGCCAAAGTAATGAAGCCTCAGCTTCAGGATCTGTCCTTCCAGAGAGCACTCAGGGTTGATTTACTTCAGAATGGATAGGTTTGTTCTCCTTGCAGTCCAGGGGACTCTCAAGAGTCTCCTCCAGCATGACAATTCAAAAGCATCAGTTCTTCGCTGGTCACCTTTCTTTATGGTCCAGCTCTATGTGTTACATTACAGTCCGTGAAAGATTAATGTTGCTGCTGCTGCTGTTGTTGTTGTTGCTGCTGCTCCATGCCATCAAGTTACCTCTGACTTATGGAGACCCTATGAGAGAGTGATCTTCAAAATGTCATGTCCTCAGTAGCCCAGCTCAACATTTGTAAACTCAAGGTTGTGGTTCCCCTAGGGAGTCAATCAATCTCACACTTGATCCTCATCCCCTCCTGGCACCCTCAACCTTTCCCAACATTATTGTATCTCCTAGAGTATCTTCCCATCTCATGATGTGTCCAAAGTACAACAGCCTCAGTTTCATCATTCTTGTCTCCAGTTCAGACTTGATTTGATCTATGACCCAGTTCTTTGTCTTTCTGGCAGTCCAAGGTATTTGCAAAACTCTCCTCCAGCACCATATTTCAAATGATTTTTCCCTGTCAGATTTCTTTACTGTCCAACCTGCACTCCCATTCATGGTGACTGGGAATTCAAGAGTGTGGATGATCTTGATCTTGATCTCCAGGGACATGTATTTACACTTGATTATCTTTTCCAAATCCTTCATTGCTTCCCTTCACTGCTTACAACCCTCATCCTTCTTGCTTGATTTCTTGGCTGCACTCTCCATTTGGGTGGATGATTGAACCGAGGTACACAAAATCTCTAACTATTTCAATTTTTTAATTGCAAATGTTAAAAGTTGTATAGTTCTTCTCTAGTCATGTGGGGTTTTTTTTACTTCTTATAAAAGTTGTATAGTTCTTCTGTAGTCATGTGGGTTTTTTTTTTACTTCTTAATCTTCAGCTGTTGTCCTGCTTTGGCATTTTCTTCTTTCACTTTCATCATAAGTTATTTCAAGTTATTGCTGCTTTCTTCAAGTAAAGATGGTGTCATCTGTATTTCCTAAATTATTGTTTCTTTTACGATTTTTCACTCCTCCTTCTTCTGAATATAGTTTAACAAATGTTAGCTTGAGTGTCAGTGCCGTTTTCTCCTTCAGCAGTCTCACCTTCAATTGCCTGGCGCTCCCATCACCAATTGACTGTCCCATCTCTTTGAACCGACCCATCCATTTATGGGTCGCCGCACAGCACATGTGGCCAACATCCTGGTTGTTGTGCCAATCTTGGATGTAGCCTGGCTAACACTTTTCCACCTCCCTGTGCTGCTGACCCCTCCAGCCAGGAGGCAGGACAACAACTCTGTTTGCTCTGCTGCTGAATGGCTAGAACTGTTAACTAACAGTAAGTGATAGCTGGGTCAAAAAAGATGTGTGCTTTCAGTTTGAGCTTTGATGAGTGATTGCATGGTGTTCATTTATTTTGGATTAAAAGCTTATCTCCTTCATTACCTTGAACAGGAGCTTATGACAGGAGGTAGGCAAATTTTGCATTATTTAAAACAATAAGTATTGTAAATTTAAGTAACAATGTTCACATAGATAACAGTTTGCAAGAACAGCAAAACTTCACCTTTTAAAGACGCTGACTGGCAGAAT